GATGGGGGCACGTTCGGGGCCCCCCCTGCCTGGAGGGCAGGCTGACCCCGGGGACGAGCCCCATCCCGGCCTGAAGAGAAACCCGCTGTTCCCCTCCTCCGTTGTCCGTTATTTCCGCATCTTCTAAAGCAAACATTTGCCTTGAAAACGGGGGTTTGGGGGATGGCTGACCCAGAGTTTCTCCTCTTGTTTCAACCTTGCTCATCTTTTCTCCTCCCCCTGTATAATGACCCAGGGCATTTCTCTAACAATTTTAATTTAAAAAAATGCAACATTTCCAGCCAACAAAAAAGCATCCTAACAAAACTTAAGCAGAAACATGCACATAAAAAGGCTGTTTAACAAAATTTGTCACAACTGTCTGACAGCGAAGAAGCCCTGAACCAAAAGGGGCTCTTGCCTGACTCAGCCAGTGCTGCTGCTTCTGTATTTTTTTTTCCACGAGGCTCAATGCCATCGACAACAAGGTGACAGACGATATATCCAGACTCTTTTATTACTAAAAGGAATGAATCGTGTCCTTGCAATGTCACAATACGTCAGACTCTCAACAGCGCTCTCCCCCTTAAGAGACACTGAATATGAGCAAAAATACAGTTTCTGAAGGAGAATGTTTAACGAGCATCTAAATGTTCTGTTTTCATAGGATTCGGAAAATTGAACAAACACAGAGACCTGTGACAACGTGGTAAAGTAAGTGCAACACAACTTTAAGGCTATGCAAAATGAAAATCATATTCCAGGCTTCCCGGTCATTTTACAACTGCAGGTGAGGACCCCAGCCTTCAGGAATCTTCTCGCAGGACTCAGCAGCACCGAGCCCCTGGAACTCTGTGATTTCACTGCGGGAACAAGCTGCCTCTCAGGCTCTGCTCCCTACTGTCTAGTTGCCACTTCCTGAAGAGGCTTCTTTCAAACAGCCACAGGATCAACACTTCCTTTCTCAAAGCATTTCACACGAGTGGGTGTTTCCTGACACTGTTTCACTTGTTTAGTGGACAGTTAGTAACTTTAATTAAATTTAATTAGTAACTTGCTTGTTTTCAGCCCAGTCCCTGAACTCCGGACTCTCAGCAGCCTAGGGATAACATTTCGGATATTCTCCAGCCTGAAGCATTACAAATTGTTCTGTGTGTCGATGTGATTTCTCTCCTGCGTGGATTCACGGCTAGCAGTAACTCTGAGCACCGCAGACTTCCTGCACAGCTCCAACACGTCCCCAACAGCTACAGGCACCGGTGGAAGCTGTGAAACATCTCCGCAGACCACTGCAACACCGTCTGTGGAAAATAACCCCCCAACCTTCTCCCTTTGCCTGGGAGGGGGCTCAGGACGGCTGTTCGACAGCCTCCTCCTCCCGCCAGGGTCCAGCACAGAGCTGGGGGATCCTGCCACGGCCCTGCCGCCTGCCCAGCAAGGGTGACAGCCAAGCGGGCTGTGAGACCCCCGGCTGGATGGGATTTTTTATATGGAGTGCATTACAGACCCCCTGATCTCTGTGCAGGGCCAACCCGCCAACGTCAGATGTGTTTCTTGCACGTGACTTTCCTGATGCTTCATGAAACTCCTCCTGAGCACAAACCTTTTCCTGCAGAGGGGGCACTGGAAGAGCCCCTCTCCCGAGTGCCGGCGCTGGTGGTTTAGAAGGTAATCCTTTCTCCTGTAGCTTTTGTCACACTCGGAGCACTTGTAGGGCCTCTCTCCTGTGTGAGTCATCTGGTGTCTAACGAGCCACGAATGGCAAACGAAGCTTTTCCCACAGTCGCTGCAAATGTAGGACTTGCCCCTGCCCTGGCTCTGCTGCTGGCTTGCCGGGCTGCCCCTGGGCGCGAAGTGCTGCCTGCACCTGGTGCAGGCCTCCGGCTTGTCCTGCGGGTGATCCCAGCAGGGGCTGGCTAACGGGTTTTCTGCGGGGAAGTTCTCGCTTTCTGCAGATGCTTGCTCCTCTCCGCCGAGGCCGTTGTGGTCACGAAGCCTGGTTCCACCCGCAGGGTTTTGTCCACGCTCGGTGCGGGCCACCAGCTGCGGCCCCACGGGCAGCCCCTCGCAGGAGGCAGGAGCAGCCCCCTGCCCGATGCCTTTCTCACCCGGAGCACACGGCTGCGAGTGCAGCAGATGGAACACCCTTTCGCTGAGACTCTTCTCACTCATGGGGCCTGGAAACGTCTCTCCTTCTCGGGCTCCCTGGGGAGTCTGAAGATGTTCCTGCTGGCTGGAGTTTCTCTCGCATTTGTTGTATGCGCACGGTCTCTTTCCAGCACTGTTTTCCTGAGCGCTAAAGAAATCTAAGTGCTCACCAAACCCTCGGTCGTACCGAGCGTCACCCCCAAGGCTGTTCCCAGCGGTGTTTGTTTCCATCATTTCTGAATTCCACTGACTGTCCCATGTCACTCCGGGGCTAGGATCCTTGGAAAACTTCTCTCCCGGTCTTCCTGGTACCTCCGAGTCACACACCGTGCTTTCAAAGCAATCTGCCGGAGGATCCCTCTTTGTGTTTTCATCGTGCACTGAAACAGATAGATTTCAGAGTCTTTCAATTAAGGAAGCCACTTAAGAATATCCCTCCAAGTCTACCGCCATGTCATGCTAATGGAAGGACAAAGTAAATAAGATGGGAGGCTTTAATACTGAGGGGAAGAGCAAGTACCGGTGTTCCACTGAAACAAAAACTCCAGGAAAATAAAAGGTCTTTTTGCAATTTTTTTTTTAAATCTATGTGAAAATTCACTAATGCAATGTTTCATCTTCACCCTCTCATTCACATGTCTGAAGTGTGAGACCTAAGTTCCCTGACAGAGCGGACACTGTCACACCTCAGTGCTCTCTCCAGACACTCCAGCGAGCACCTAGAGAAGCAAGGGTCCAAGCTGAGGCACCGAAGCCAGCTCAGCAAGTCAGTGTGGGTGCACCCCTTCTCGTACGTGAACCGTTGTCTCTGCAGGCTGGGCTTCTGGGGGGAGACCATCTCCTGCCATGTCTTTGTTCAAGAGCTCGGAGCAGTGCTGAGTGGAGAGGAAGGCTCTCGCACCTTACGAGTGATCCCCAGACAGGCACACAGCTCCGGCTCGATGCAGAGGGATGCCCAGACTGAGAGCTGTCAGTCAGACTGCCTCTGCCCTAGGCGCCTCTCCTGCTTTCCTTGGAAAACATTTACGACTCCTGATAATCCAACCCAAAAAGGTACCTGGTGCCTTAGCTGCTTAGGCACAGCTCTAGATTTGCCATCGGACAAAACTGTTCTGCTGACCTGCAAATTCCCTCTTTCTGTAATTACTGTTTCCTGTGACAAATATCCAGTGTTTCATTTTCCAGATTATTTTCACCAATGCTCTTCAGTCCAGCTTTCTCACGCTCTGTGATTTTTCTGTCCCCTACAACTTGTGACTCTTCCAGCATCTGAGAGTTGCTACAGAAAGACTCCGCTGAGCATCATGAAGGACGACAGGTCTCTCGGCAATGCCAGCCAGGTAAGTCCAAAGTTACCTGCACCACATGAACATCCTGAGCTCTTATTTCTCTGGCTGTGCTTGGGACGTCAGCACACAAACATGTTCCCACAGGCCAAGCTAAAGCGTCAACGTAGAAGGCACCGGTTGCTCTACAGTAATTGTCTAAGCATGTCCTCTCACCCCAGTAACTCCAGGTTATGTGTAAGCACAGACTGGAAGGTCTGGAACAGAGTCAGCTGGGGACCCCACCCCGTGAGCTCCCCTGGAGCAGTTGGAACAGGTCTCCCTCGGGAAGGGGTCAGGTGAAGCTGGTCCAGCCTTACACCAGGGCAATGGATGACCTTTTTCTGCTGGGCAAAATCATTCACGTCAGCAGTTCCCAGCATACTGAGAGTTTATCCCTTGATTTACTCTATAGTAACTTCATCACGTGCCCATGAATGTTTAAATAACTCACATGAAGCGAAGGAATTCCAGGCTACCAACTGATTTCTACACAAAATATTCCTTTGCACCCCTTCCTCCGTTACCCACTTGAGAGCTATACTGAGCGGTCCCGGGTTGTGGCCCAAGAGATTGAATATCCCTATCCAAAATGGCACACCTGTTCCCTGAGGTTAGGCCTTGATCCAAAGATGAATCTCCCTCTATTAACTCCACCTTAAGCATGACCCATACTCCAAGCGCGCGCTGTATAAAAACTCCTCCGAATGAACGTTAGCATGTACATCTCCAAATCACATATCCTCAAACTGTTTTGCATTAAAGCTGCCTTCTCTTTTGCTGCAGGGTAGCTCTCCTGCTTGGGAATGCAAAGTCAGGGCTCCATGTTCATCAGTACCAGGTTTAGACACCATCAAGCCAGCTGGAAGTACAAACTTGATCCGTAAGGCCTGAGCACGCCACGGTGCTTGCCTAAACAGAAACCCAAGACAGCGCCTATGACAGTTTTAGGCCAGCTGAAGGAGGAAGGAGTCTCTTCAGCCGACAGAATCCGAAATTTTTGTGAACAAATATTAACTAGCAGACTGAGGTTGGTTCCAGTTCTTTCATGGCTTACAATATAAGGTCGTGACATTTAATATAGTATAAAAAATGCTCTAAATTAGATTTACTGTCCCAGAAATCTCAGCTGAAATCCATTACTGACCTGTACTCGAATCTGTAGAGATTTCTTCTTTCTCCAAGTCTTGTCGTTCCGGGCAGCGTGGCTCCTCCTCTTGTTTAATCCATGATAAAACGTCAGTTGCATAAGTCTGAAATCCTGCTCATCGGGGAGAATTTACACAATTGAGAAACACCAGAGAAAGATGCAAAGCATGGAAGATTTGGGAATTCACAAAGATAAGAAAAGTGCTGACAAAGCCTCAGGGAAGACATGACAGGAAGAGCCACCTGAGGGATAATTCCTGCAGTGCGAGTTTTTGCCAGGGCATCCTCACCTGCGTCAGGGTCTCTTGGGAGGTCCTCGCCCTCTGCGCCTGGCAGGTCCCTGGCATACTCCTCTTCGCCTTTCTTGGTCTGACTTGAAGCCTCAGGCTCATAAAACGCTTGCTCTGCTAAAGGAGAAAATTCAAAACAAGCACATTGTAACTGCGTAAGCTCAGGATTTCACAAGGGTGAAACCTGCTCTTGTTTTCTTTTCTGTCTTCCCCCAAGCCAAGCTCCCGTAAGCCCAGTTTCTTAATGAAACCTGATGGAAAGCTCTAAAAATCCCAGTTTGCTACATACACTGGAAGCCAAGTAAAATTGCAGTGGAGCCAACAGGTAGAGCTGCTACCCTTTGTAAAGAGTCAGGACAGTCAAGCTCCAAAGCAGAATAGTTTAAGTGTAATGCAAAGAGATACCACCAAGTGAGAAGGCAAGAAACAGGTCCCTGGGCTGCGCGGCCTCCCCGTACAGCAACAGCACTCAGAGAAGTCTGTGCGCTCATTTGTGTACGCAGAAAAAACAGAGAAGGGAGGAGGGAAAACGCAACCTGAAGCTTCTGGATATGCAGGAGGAAAGGCGCTGCGGCCCCTGCAAGAGACGGCTGCACGGGACGTGGAGTTGAGGAGCTGCCGCAGCCGCCGCACGCAGTGGATGGCACCAACCACATCCTCATTCTGGCACTGATTTTTGCCTCCTCCAAGTTAACCCATCGGCCCCAAAAAGTGACTAATGGCCCACCTTGCACTAGACATCTAACCACCTTAGAGCTATCAACTTGACGGAAGCAAAGTAAGGAATTTAAGGGAGAATGAAACATTTCCTATTCCACACTGCACTCCTTGGATGAAAATCAGCCACGCACTCTGCAAACTCCAAAATGGCCGTGAGAAGGGAAAGGCGAAATACCAGCCCTTACCTGTCAGGACTGGTGGCAAGTCTGTTCAAAACTTGTGAGCTTTTTATAGAAGATTTGGAATACATGAGAAGAGGTGGGAAAAAAAAAAACCTTGGAATTTAATCCCTCTGTTCCATTTTCCCTCCGAGGTATGCAGTTACTCACCCAGGCAGGGCTCTTCAGGAGCTTCTCCAGCCTCCCCCTCCTGCTGATCTGCAGCGCACAACTCTTCCTCTTGCTTAACATGGATTATGCTGTCTTCTGTTAATAGGAACCAATGTTATTTTAATTCCATACACAAAATTAATTCCAATTCTCATCCCATCCCAGGCACAGCAGCTCTGTTCTAGCTCACATTCTAGAGAAACTTCAGTTCTAGTTCTCACTGACCAAGGGCTCTTAAACAGACTAAAATAATTGTTCCAAAACCCTTAGCAAATGTTTGAGCTTCAGAAACACAGGAGTTTCATGCAAGTGTAATGTCCATTTTGTTGCAGTGCCCATTAGCAAATGAAAACATGTTCTACATGGCCCGGGGAGAGGAGAGCGCCACTTGAATTCTCGTTCTCAAGGTCTGTTTCTCTTTTGGCTCTGCCAGAGTTATGCCATTCCCTTTTCAGTCGCTATCGGTAAAACGCACACCACTTCTAACCCATCAGAAAAGCACTAGTGAGAATTATGAATAAACTTCCTGAAAAAAGGAAAAAAAAAAAAGAAATACATAATGAAAAACAGACGGGCAGATGCTCTGCACATTACCTTTATACCTCTAACACAATCAGTGCATTAGAGGAATACTTTGCACGTGTGTGTAAAAACAACTGTATTGTGTACGTTTGTGCACACGGAACAGAAAGTCCTCTTGACAGCCAGCCTTCAGACTGGGAAAGGGAACGTCATCCCACTTTGACTGGCAACGCAGACAAGGCCTAACGGCAAGGGGACTGCAGGTTTGACACATGCAACTGCAGGCAGCTCAGCAACCGGGAGAGCGAAAAAAGGTGGTTTCACGTAACGTTCCATTAAGACCGGGAGGGATGAGGTGCCCAACAGCCAAGTTTGGAAGACCACGCTCAATGCAGCAAGCACCGTGGAGAGGCTGATGTCCCAAAAAGAGCCCAGGTGCCGGGTTTTCGGCGGTCCATATCCCAACAGCCCGGTTGTTTTTTTTCCCCCTCCCCGCTGCCGGTCTCTGCGGGATCACCTCTCCCGTCCCCGTCCTCGCAGCTGCGAGCACACGGCTGGTTCCCGTCTTCCGACCGGGCCTGGGCATCACGTCTGGGAGCGTCCGGCTCTGCGGGAGGCGTGAGGTGAGGCGCAGCCGGGGGTCCCGCCCGCACGGGAGCAGCGGGGGGACGGCGGGGACCCCGCCGCCTGCCC